ATAGACAATTGTATTATTTATACGAAGAAGCTGAACCGGATACTGGTTACAAGGTGTCTGTTTGGGCCGAGACGAATGGAGGTGAAGGTGCGAAAGTTATGAGGGCCGTTAGAACATGGCCATTCAGAAGTTCGTTGGTATCGTTATTGATATTTTTGTTACTCGAATGAGTTTTATGACTATCGAATGAGCTGAATTGATATTTGATTCATTTTGTAATGAATGCATTTTTTAAATTATTCTGTGAACATTATTCAATAAGATATATTCTTCATTTAATGAACAATTTGTCTTTATTTCAGATCCAGATAAGCCTGTATTCAAAGCAGTATCCACATCACCGTGGACTGCAGAAATTGAATGGTTACCATCGAATGACACTAGCTATTGGGCTATGCCTGGATCGTCGTTTTCGGTCAATTATTCAGTTGTAGGTCCGTCTTTTTGCCATTCCATCAATTCGTTATCATTGTGGGAACCGAACCAGGGACGGCACCTATCGCATTAGCGCGTTGGGTTCACTGGGTTCCTAGTTGGATCATTTACCGCAAATTGTGGGATCGAATTTCAACTGCAATGATAATTTTTATGCATAGTCGATGAATTAATAAATTCATTTCAGCTTCTGTTAGCACGAGTAAAAAATTACAAAATACGATTATGGATGGGAAATGAGAAAATGAATAAATGAGAAAGACTGAGTAATGCCTGAAATGCTCTACAATAAGTGAATATTTCAGAGAGTGGTGAATGGAAAGAGAGTGAAATAGTGACTCTACCAAACAGGAATATCTTTTTGGATCATCTCGCTGAGGACACCGAATATCGAATTATTGGCATATCGAGAGAGGGAACGCGACAAAACACTTCGGATGAAATGATCATTCGGAGTTTAAGTCGTGCCACAATTACACATATTTCTAGAGGTTTATCAATCAGCAGAATGTCATTTCAGTTTCACTTCGCAATATCACCATATTCCTCATTCCGCAATCTTCAGTTTTGGCATTTTATTTATGATCGAATGTATCAATTAAGTCATTCAACTGAATACGATCAAATGAATACGTAAGCATAAATTTCAGAAAGTTTAACAAGTGCATCATGGTTCATTGCGGTATTATTCGCCTTGCTCATAGCGTTAATTACCGCCTTCATAATTTGTTGTTGCCAAAGGCAACAAACCGGTAAATATTCGGTTAAAAGGAAGGAACTCGAGAAGGGACATCAGATCGATTCTGATGAACATCAGTATGTTGTTATAGACAACTTTTCGTCATTTTGAATCGATGTGAGCTGATACTTGCGACTGGCTTACATTAAAAAGATACTGTTTCTTATTGACAACCTAATTCTCCACATTCCTAATCAACATTGCTTCCCAATAAATCTACTCAATCCATTTGCTGAACCCTTAATGTTATTTTATCATATCAGTATGAAAAGATGAAAATACTGATGGTTTCACTGAATTGAGGTGCATTTTTAATTGAGGTGTTTTATTTTGCAGAAAGTTTATGGAGTACCAGTACGGCTTTAAATAGAAGAGATACACTGATCTCTTATTGTATATTACCATTTATCAATCAACGATATCGTTGCTGATCGCTGTGACATTCGTGTGTGTACATAAGAATGATCTTATTGAAAGAACTGTTGACAGAATAGACGACTTCTATTTATTATGACTTCTAAATCTGTTGCGCTTGTGATGAGATTGTGGATTAAGTCATGAATGGAATGATGTGAGAAAACGAAACAATAAATGACGACAATATGAGCATTGTCCATGTTATTACGCATATCAAATAAGATTGTATTCATCTGTCTCAACTGCCAATTCATTGTAATTTGTTGTTTACGCTCATTGTTTTTGTTGTTGTTATGTTATAATAGAGTAAAGTATTCATAAAGTATTCATTTATACATTATTATTATTATTATAATTATGCATCTTTTTACAACACATCAAAACTGTACAAATAAATATTATAGAAATTAACAATCATCAAATCAAATTTCGATTACAGTCATCAGTAACAAGTGAAACGAGCACTGCGAATTAATCAATGAGAGAATGATATCGCATTAATGATACCATTGTCATATTATCACTAGTCATGATATGTTTAACATCGTATTTGTCACAATCATTAATTTAGACGTTAAGCATCAATCCGTTGCGATAAAACTGCTCAGGGTGAGAATCGAACCCGCGATAGCGCTAAATAACACAACACAACAGCACTGCAATCAAAAATTCCACTGACGAGCTATCATACCAGAGCAACGTTGGGTTTCGGGTTCGAATCCCCAGTGAGACAAAAGTTTTTGGAAAGAGATTTTTTGAAATGAGAAGAGAAATTCTTCTAATTAATGAATGATTTATTTACTGCATGCGGCTTTTTATGTGGTTTGTAGAATTGTTCAGTTGACACCGGCAGACTAGAATCAACATATTTGACATGAACTATTTGGAATTACTGCTTGAGAGCATTATAATCAAAAGGAATAGCGGTGATGTGCATTAAGGTCATGAAATGATTAGATGATAGTGATATGAAAGAAGGCATTTTCGAAGCAACTGAAACACGATAAGATTCATTGATCACAAATTATAATAGACATTATGTGCGATGTTATCAGTGTTATTAGCAACTTGATAACTGACGTAAAGTTGACTTCATCGTAAAGTGGCATAAATATGTTCAGGTTCATTGAACGAGCATTCGATGATCTGTTGAAATCGCTCGCATAATCGATTCTCTCGGGAGTATTCGTCTCTCGACAGAATATCCACCAGTCGAACACCGTTGCCACGAAGCCACGTTAACAATTCACTATTTACACATCTGCTACTTATCACTTCATTTCGTATCTACAAAAACATTAACGATCAGTTCAATTTCTTCAATGAATTCCGAAAATTTGCTTCAAAAACCGCAGAAATGAAAACATTTCTTAAAAATCCTCTCAAAAGTTTATTTAAAAAACGGAATTGAAATTTCACATCGAAAATTACCAAAACAAACTCAAAACTAACGTCGATCGTTGAGCTGATATGATTGAAAAATTGATCAGTTGATAAAGCTGGTGCAGCTTTAATCCGTTTGAAGAATACGTCCACTTTTGGTCGATACCTCTCAATATCTTTTGCGAATAAAAGTTTCGACGAAGGACTTTCCTGCAATGAAAACAACACCAATGACAAGCAAATAAGAGCACTCAATATTCATCCGTATCATAAATC